GTGTATATCTTTTACTCACTTTCAGAAAATTAAGCTGTGTGTTTGCAGATTTAAGACACCTCTAGACTGTGCCAAAATAGCAAGTACTGGCCAGGCTGGCCTCTCCAGCCCAGCTGTTTGCAATGACAAGGTATGCTTTTCATAATATTTTCAAGTTTTTAGCACATAATTTGCTGTCAGCCCCAGTACCCTCCCTGAGGAGATGCACTAGCCCCATTAGCATTCTCTTTGGGCATGAGCAACACCAAAACAGAGCTGACATTCTGACCTTGTTTAGGAATTCGTTTTGAAGAAGATACTGTCTAATTTATTCTCATGTGCAACTATTTCAATTTGAATCAGTTAATAAGACTGGAATCAAGTCTGGTTGGGATGATAGTTAGTGAAAGAATGTGAGCCAGGCAGCTGACCAGGTTGTTAGCAATGTATTTTAACGAAAACAAAACAAAAAGGGGGCATAGCACCAGAATTGGTTCTGCATCAATGGTCTGTACCAATGGTATAGAATTTATTGGTTTTATATCGGTTAATATTTAAGGTGCTGTAATACTTTTAAATGCTGTAGGTAAAATGATGAAATGCTGTAACTCATTGCCAGGAGAAAGAGTAATACTGAAAAAAAGATACTTGCAAACAGATGGGAGGGCTGTTTTCCAGAGGGATATGAGAATGAGGGAGTCACCTGGAGAATAAATTCCTCTGTTGTTGCTTGCAAATACTTGAAATGGAAAACTCTTTCAGGAAAGAAAACTTAGCTTATCTCAAAATGTTTACCTCTGTGCTGATACTGGCCAAATCAGAAAGTAAGAAAAGATGGACAAGAGCACTCCGATTAGGTTGAAAGCATTTTAGCATTCTCAAATGAATTTTTTACAGTCTTACTACATTTTGGTGTTATTTTATTTTCTCCTTTATATCTGAAGTATGTTTACAGTGAAATACTATGACTGATGAAAACCAGTGATTTGGGATTTTTTCCCAGAGATTTTAGGGTTTGGCTTGGTTTATTTCTAAAAGGGAAATTTAAAAGTTGTTTTGCAAAGCAGTTCTGTTCTTATTCTGGTGAGCCTCCCAGTTCACATTAGCAGTCATCAGTTAACAGAATAGAAGTCCTAGGTAAGCAAGAGTGGAACCTGTCTTGTTTCAATTTATGTCCATTGTCTCTCTGTCACAGCATGCATCACTTTGTAAAGCCTGTCTCTGTCTTCCTGGTAACTTCTCCCTAGGCACTGGAAGGCTGCTATTACCATCCCCCTAATGGTAGCCCCACTCTAGGCTAATTTCTCAGCCTCTCCTCACATGGCAAGAGCTGGCCATTTTGTTGTCCCTGTATTTCTTGTATTCAGGTGTCCAAAACTAGGTACGGTATTTTAGATGTGGTCTAAAGAAGGGTGGGGGTGGGGGGAGGAGAGGTTCAGAGCATGTTAAGACACTACAACAGGCATAAAGAAGAGAATAGAGTGGCATGGCCTGTTTTTTTGGAGCTGGATTAAGGTGCTTTCTTCAAACAACCTGTAGAAAATAATGGTTCATACTACTTAGGCAGAAAGGAGTTTGTCTCTTATACCTGCACTAAGTAGTGCTCTTCTAGTAAGTAGAAAGCTTTCCTTGCTTTCCTTTTCTTCTTCCATTTACTGCTTTTTTGTGGATGTTTGAGTGTATTCTGAGACCACTTTGTCAGCAAAGTCACACAAACCAGAAAGATGGAAGTAATATCTGCTGTCTCAGCTCTAAAGGGATAGGTTCAAAATGTGCTCTGAGGAATACTAACAGGATGCACAGAGCTGTGTGCATGGTCAAAGTCAGTGATCTGCTGAACATTACTTAAGGGGCTTTCAGGAAGCCAGGCAGAGGGCTGTGAGTATGCATGGCTCTTCAGTAGTGAACTACTTAAAGTGCAAGTTATCTTTGTGTATCTAGCCAAACAGGCGGATGATACATTTTGCATGAGTATGCCCCAGCTGGCTTAAGTGAGGCTAAAAAAGCTGTAAAGTGCATGTTCTTATGTGTGCATGCATAGCCCTTACGTACAAAGCTGGAAATAGAGACACTCTGCAGACAGCAAAGTCTGTTTCTAAGCACCATGTGCTTTTCAGACCAAAGTACTATGGTTTTGGTTCATTCCTAAGCATCCCAGTGAAAAATCTCTGATGTTCCTCATTAGTTCTAATGTCATGGGAAACTTACTTCGTAAGACTTACATGTGAGACTGCTTTCATCTATTTCATAAAAGCAGGTTCCAGATCAGTGGCTTGTAATCAGCACTAAGACTTCAAGCTGGTTAATTCAGTGTGATTTAATTAATACATTTTAGAGGCAGTCTGACACGATAGAGCGATCAGACCAACCTAGCCATCCAGCAGTCTTTGAAAGCCAACCTTACTCAGGTGTAATTTTATCTCATTAGGATAGCTCTATAAATTAGGTTTTAAAAAATAGAGTCCTTACTTGAGATTATTAAATGTCTTTATCTGCCAAACTAGTATATTATATAATGTTATTTTTCATAGCTTCACTGCAGTCATGTTATATTCCATTGCCACTGTGGAGCGCAGGCAGGGAAAAAACTGGCTCCCTGTGTTAACAAGGTGAAGAAGGTGTCTGAAATGACAGCATAACAAATTACACTCCACGTTGATTTATTTCATTATTTTGTTGCCTGTGAAATGGCCAGGCATGAAGCACTACCTGCTGCTGAGTGACTGGGATGTATTCCAGGTTCTTGAATAATTGTATTGCTTCTTTGTGGAATATTTGTTTTTACACTGGGACCCAGAACAGATACTTGAAAGTTCTTTTGGTGGCATATACAGGTGTCTGTGTACCTAAGTTGGATTGAAATTGAATGACAATCGAGTGCTTGACCAACTTGGGTGCTTTTGGAATGTCAGGAAGCACCAAGCTGAGAATTGTGCCAGAATTCCCCTTAAATTAAAACTTGATGTGTTTGTGTGTAGAAATCTAAGAAAAAGCATGTAAGTGATGGTGTGAGGACTTCACCAAGCTGTCTGCACTTGGACTGTCTTGTGCTCCAGGATACATCAAAAAAATAGAGATTAGTAAGTAGTTTGCCTAGTGTGGACACGTACAGTCGGGCATCTGCGTTTTTCTTGGAGGCACTGGAGACCCGCTGCTGGAGTCTTGAATTGTGGAATTTATGTAATCTTGTGCTTTCAGAAAGCATTTTCTTTGAAAAATACAACTGCCCTGTTGGTTAGTCAATAGAGTAATCAGACCAGCTACACATTATCATGAACTTCCTGTAAATGATGTCCCAAACTGTTCGGGTTTGCTGTATTAAAGTGCTCTTCCACTTTCTGAGGAGGATTACTCACTCATTTAGTAGCACTTGGGGAATCCCAAATGATGCAGTTTAGGTTTGCAACAGAGTATTTCTCTGGAAGAGTTCTCTGAAAGGTGTCAAGTGTTAATACCTGTAGTTTTTGTCATGCAGGGTCACTCCAACTAGGGCACATCATTCGTTTGTTCAGTATATTTAATGTCTGACGCATACGACTGTGATGCATCACATTCTAATGATCAGGCAGAAATCCTGGCAAACTGTTTTTCCTTGAAAGGCAGGACTGCATAATGCTATTTGTGATTGCTATTTGTTCAATAAAGTTTTCAGTCTTTCAATTTATTTACTTTCAGTTTTGGTTTCAGTTCATTTAACCTTCAGAAAACACTTGCGCTGTCTGCTGCTTGCAAAAGGAAGGCTCTAGCAGCCTCTTGTTGCATTTATCTCTTGCTGTGGAGCTATGATGTCTGCAGTAATAAATGTATCCGTTGAAACAGAAGTGATTAAGTGCCTGTTGAAATGTCTTCTGGAACAGAACGTTAGCTTTTGCTTTCAAGGGGCAGATATTGCAGCAGATAGCACTTAACCCAGCCAAGGACAAAGTGTTATGTTTAAACATCCCTTTTCTGCTTGCCTCTATGAAACAGCAAGGATATCTGCATGCAAGCACTTCCATTTCTTAATACATCAAAACAAGTAGTTCTACAGAACTGAAAGAAGTATGATTGTAACTATTGCTTTATTTTTAAAAACAGCCCATCCTACCAGTTTGCCATGGTTTCTTCCTTTGAACTTTGACATCTGAAAGATACAACCAAGGAAGAAAGGATTGGGCAGGCACTGATACTTACACACTAGACTTCTGTCTTCAGAGGCACTGATTTATCTGGCTGTACATTTCTGAACTAAAACCTAATTTGACCATCTTGCAGTGGTCCACCTGGCTGTCCAGCTCAGAAGCTCATCTGAGATTTGATACTAATATTGCCATCTTGAAAGTATGATGTAACTGTTGCTTTTGGTTTTCAAAGCTGATGTGTGTCATTGAAACCATATAGATCCTTATGGAAAAGACTTAAGTTTCTTCTCCAAGTCAGGTACACACATAGACCACTTGTCTATCTGTGTGTATAGAGAGCACAACAGAGGTCAGTCTAGTACTATGAGAGTCCTGATGCATTGCATAGGATTTTCTAAGTACTAATACAGTAAGTTAATAACAACAGTTGAATCAAATCATTGACAATAACTCATCAATCTAGTGACTAAGTGCTATCTGTTATCTTCTGAAGCTAATAAGGATGCCCAGTAATTACGCTGATAACGTCCCAAGTATGCATTTCTTACATACAGTTTTATATCTTCAAAATTGGATATAGACATTTAAGAAACTAATATATTAACAAATGTGAAAATGCAGACTAAATACCAAATTGCCTGATTTTTCTGTTATCCATTTTCAGAGTGTGTTTCAGGATGCCTCTGTTTATCAGATATATTCTGCAAGTATGCCAAGCGTATATATCGACATTGTTTTAACTTGCATTAAATTTAGTGATGTATAAATTGCAATAATGTTATTGTCTTCTATGAGTGGAATTTGGAAACCAGAGAATTTAAAAAACATATGGGATATAAAGAATTAGTCACCTGGCAGTAAGTGCTAATTAATATTTTTTTCTTGCATTCTGTCTTTCAGATTTGTGATAAAGAATGGCATTACTATGTTGTCAATGTTGAGTTTCCCGTCGTTACATTATACATGGATGGAACAACGTATGAACCTTACCTTGTGACCAATGACTGGCCTATCCACCCTTCCCACATAGCCATGCAGCTCACAGTTGGTGCTTGTTGGCAAGGTAATATGACAGCAAATAACAGATAGTAGAATTAGGAACACGGGCTAAAAAGAATATTACTTGTCTTGCTGATTATAGTAAATAAATTACTAGAAGGTTGATGTTATAAAATCTGAAGTAAATCCAGAGTTACTAGTGAGTCAAGTCCAACGATAAAACGGATGGGACAAAACAGGCTTTGCATTCCCATCTTCTAAAGAAGTGTTTAATACAATTTGTGTATTCAGTGTGAAAGATTGTCTTTATCTTTTGTCTTCGTTTCTTTTAATGATTTCCCTTTTTATCCAGTTTGAAGCAAACTATATAAATACTACTGTAAAGAACCCCCGCTATCTTCTTTCAGTCTCTGCCTCAAATTTCATTCCCAACTCATGGCCCAATCCTGTGCTCTTCGCATTGGATGTGTATCACCAGTCATTCCACTAACTTAACCAATTCACAGTGTTATAGACCGGAAGTAAAAGTGAGAGTAAAATAGAACTGAAAGTCACAACCCCAGTGCCATACTTGTATTAGCCTTTGCTCAAATACTAGTTTTTTTTGTTTTCTCCCTTTTACAATCCTGGTTGGTTGGGTTTTTTTCTGGTCCTTGTGCCAATGTCTCTTTTCTGTTCTCTGCCTTACACCTTAAGCTTTAACACAGCTTATGTTTCTTCCCCACTCTTCAATGTTGACTCACTTTCTCTGTTATTACCTTGTTTGCCAGTTTGATCTCTGCTCATTTACAATATGTTATCTGCAAAATTTGGACATCCTGTGCATGCCAGAGCCGTTCTGTGTAAATAATATTAGAAGCAAATCCAGCTGTTAGTTTACAAACACCTTGGGGTAAAGATCCAATCTTTACTTCGATGACAACATGCAGAGTAAAGCCACACTAATCCTAAAAACAAGATTCGATAAGTTTTGAATATTGATCACCGAGATAGGTGTTATGATAGTGAGCATGATGCTAATGATGCTAATCCCATGTATTTGTGAAAGTATAGGCTGGTTCTTGTCTAACTGCATGTGATCTTTAGGCATATTGGAATTTTTCATTGATGTTAAATATGTGAAAGAATACATTTAATTTTACTCTAAGGTGTTAATATCCTAAGGGAATGTTACTCCTTTTTTAGCTAAAAATAGGTAGTGAAATACCTATCAAATTCTTCAGAAACCAGAACTTTGGTTTAGCCAGTAGTTCACTGGGATGAAGAGTGACAGGTACCAATTTAATTCAGACAAATTTTCTCTTAGTTTGATCTGTTGAGGTTTCATGTTTGTTTTTTATTTCTTTTCTTGTGTAGTTCTGGTGCAGTACTTTTAAAGCAAAGTTCTGACTTAACAAATGTAATGTAATTAGTGAGTGGAGTAAATTCAGTTCTTCCCAGACATGGGGTCTAGTTGAAGATGTCCCTGCTCATCACTGGGGGGTTGGACTAGATGAGCTTTGAAGGTCCCTTCCAACCCAAACTATTCTCTGAATCTATGAGCAAATGCCATAAGGACTGTGAATAATCACTGAGTATTGCCTCTGAAAAATCAGCTTTTCCCAGGAGCCGTGCTAAAGAAATTTCATTCTAATCCCTTATTTATTTACTTTGTTTATAATTATATGTATTAGTATTCTTTTATTTATATTTACCATTTATTTAATCCCTTCATGTTTATTTCTCAGTTCTTCTGCATAGGTCTACATAAATATTTATGTGCATTATTGGTATCACTTCTGCCCCTTAACATCTTTCGTTCATGCATTGCGTTTTTATCATTCTCTAGGGGCAATCTTTAGGTGTTGGGGGAGAGGGTTTCCCTAAAAGTCTCTGTATTGGTGGGAATCTTGTTTCCTTTGCATCTTTGTCTCTGTATCTCAAATGTCTATTTATATCCAAGAGAAAGAATTAAGGTAAAACTTCTCATATCGGCTCACAACAAATTGAGACCTCGGACTCTATTTAGTATTTAAGCTGTTAAACAAATAGAAAGGTGCAGTTGTTTTTAGACATTTTTAGCATTGCCTTGAATAATTTGACAGCTTATTGAACAACCATTCACGATAAGATTCTTCTTCCTTTTTGGTGAAACACCTGATTTAAACTACTGAAATTTTACCTGTTGCTGCTTTCAGAATTTATTGCAAGATTACATTAATGCTATTTTAATCATGTGAGAATTGGAGCCCATCATAAGTAGAAACAAATTTTCCATCTCATGAAAATGACAAGATTTAGCTACGGTACTGTGCTAAAGATCCTCATAAACTTTGATATCTTAGACGAAAAGGTGAACTTGTAATACTTACACGAAACAAGATTTCAGTATATTGCTTTTAGCAATGCTTACCTTTTGATAAGTTTGTTTGGATCAGCTCAAACTTATTTTCAGTGAATGGTGTTAGTAAGTTTCAGCACTCTGTTTTAAAGTCTGTTGAATTGTAATTATTCAACGTATAAACCCAAACTATTTTGTTCAAAATGCTAATTTTCAAAATCCATATATTTCAAGAACAAGTGGCTCTATCAAATAATTTTCCTATAAATAGTTTCAGTGACACTTACCTGAGTCTGCTTAGTTTAGGATAATACGTTTAGGCTAGAAAGAATAGTCTAAACTTTCACATTTTCAAAACTGCTTTGGGACCATCTATGATTTACTTCAGTAAAAATGTGCAGTGAGTGATTTTGGTGTCATAAGCCACTCGGGGGAGTCCTTGTTAAAGAGGATATGAGGAGTTTCCAGCTCTGGTTTGCTCAGCCTATTTCCTTCTCTTCTCATCACATCACTGGCAGAATAGGAACGAACACAAGCTCCAACCTCTTCCTTCAGAAAGGACAAGTCTCTCTTTTTTCTGTCTTTGCTAAACCATTTTATAGTTCTGAGTCCACAGTATCCATTTATCAAAGTCAAATTATGTGAAAAACAGTCTCAACTCAGACAACTGAATTAACCAGTAGAAATAACATTCCTTTTTCTTACCACAACAAATCTCATTTGCTCACAGCAAAAAAAAAAAAAAAGTCATTATTTACCCTTTCATATACGACAATTTTCAGTACTGGTCTGGAAACTGGGAATTGTAGTGCTGTTTCTCTGGGAATCTTGAGAATCCTTCAGGTTATGAGACAAGTGACTTTTTCAGCCCTGCCTGGTCTCTTCATCACTTACACTGGTACTTACCCTGAGGTTATGTAGGAAGTATCATGATTGCACCTCCTTCTTGTCTTTCTCAGTTACGTAGGAGTCTCAAGCACAGATAGAAAATCCTTTTCTTTGAGATTAGTATTTGCTCTTAATAATATTTTAATTACAGACTAACTCCTTTCTGACTTTAGATCCTTGTTTACAGCATCCATTATGAAAAGTTAAGTTAGGTTAGTTTTCATTTCTGTGTTCAGCTCAAGTGAAATGTAAGAGCAGTTTAAGTTCAATGCTGTTCTCCTGAATCCAACATGAGAACAAACGTGCACTCTCTCAGGCTTACATGATAGATTTAGATTTTAGCATACCAAGTCCCATTTGCATCAGACCATTTGCCTTTTTTTGATTGGTTTGGTAGGGTTTTTTGACATCAGCATTCCAGTTTTAATGGGCAACTCTCTCCTACATCTTTACCCTTGCCTTTGCAATGTAAAGAGCATGCCTGATTTGTTTGTTCCTGAATTTATGCAGTATTTCTCCAAATCTTGACAGTTTGGTGCTAAGACTCTCAAAAGGAGGAAGATTTAGCCTTTTCCTGAAGAGCAGAGTTTTTTTCTAGGGGGCAGCAGGGTACTGAAGGCAGAAGTCAGGGTCCCAGTGTGTGGATAGCAGCCTGGAGACAAGCAGAGAGTGAAGATGGCTGAAAAAGCAGAGAGCCAGGCTTCAAAGGTGATAGAAGGGCCTGTCAGACTCTGGGTGAAGTTTACTGCAACCCAGGAAGTCATTCACTTACCTAAAACCAAGACTGGGGGATAGTTTCCAGCTTTAATAACACATTGGACATGAGGAAAGTTGTATAATTTTGATCTTTTTTTTAATTATTTTTTTTTTTATGTTTTGTTCTGACATAACTAAAATGATTTTTCTTTATTTAAAATTAGGTGTGTTATTTGTAGTACAATCTTTTTTTAAAAAAACCTTGTTTCTTTCCTCTGGGAACTCATTAAAGGGAAGATCTAGCCAGAGCTACCTCACTGATTTAGGATCCTATCCCAATGGTTAGCATAGAGTTCATTGTTTATTTATTTTGCGTAGTTCATGTTTCACACTGCTATACTTTTTGGTAGTTTAGTTGAGGGTGGGAATTACTGCCTTATCTTTAGGCTAAACTAGTTTTGCTGATTCAGTTGCATGCAACCCAAGAGCAGTGACAGCTGGAGACAGAAACTGCTTAACCTGTTGCAGCCTGTCTCCAGCAGAGTGCCAGTCCTCATGCATGGCAAACCCTAACTCACTTTTAGCTGTGGTTTCAGTGACACTAGGCCTAGGAAAAGGTAATACTGACTGCAGAGCTGGGCAAATTGGACTCTTGCTGACTGAGGGCAGAAATGAACAGTTTGGAATGCTAGTACAGATGTTCCTGAGATCAGGGCTTTGGATACCCTGGTAAAGGTTGGCAGCTTTCTCTCCAGATATTAGGGTTAAGGATATAACTTAATTTTAACTTCATTAAAAGGCCTTTTTTTATTCACATAAGTGGTCTGTCAGGTGATTGTCAGGGGCATGATTTTGGTGTAGGTGGGGTCATTTAGGTCTCAAGTGCTGTTGTGTCTCTAATGGTGAAAGAAAATTTGAGGCAAAATTACCCTTTGTCAAGGGTATCTAAAGGACAAAATTGACTTGATTGTATGTGTGCTTCACAGAACAAAAGAGACAGCAAAGAGAACATGTGGAAAGCGTGACCCTTGCACTGTCTCTGAACCCTTACCTCCCTGAATGGATGTTAGAAGCAGAGCTGGTCCATCAGGATAGGAGAGAGGTCCTCAGTGCTCACCTTCAGCTTTCATTTCTACTCTCTTCTTCTCTAGTAGTAAAAA